CGTTGCTTCACTGGTCCAAGTTGGCACCATCATTGCGCTCTTCCCAGGTGAGGCAGATCAGTCGCCGGCTTCTGGACGGCCGCTCACTGTGGCTGCTGGCCGCTCACGCTGGCTGCTGGCTACACACGGTAGCCCATGGCAACCCACTGCCACAGGAGCTGCAGCCTACACCGTCGCCAGCGACTCACGGCAGCCCAGCTCCAGGTCGAGCTGTTGTTCAGCATCTTAGCTGTAGAGGGCAGTGTCACTGGCCCTCATATATGGGATCCGAACCGGGGCCCTCTGGCGTCCCAAGCCAGCTCTCAACCCTCGCGCCACTCAGCCGGCCCGCTCCTACTTTTACTTACTAGAAGATTTCTAAGCTTCTGCTTGAATCATTAAGAACTTATAATTGAATGGGCAATTTATTAAAGAGGAGTCTCTTCAGGGAAATTAAGCATGTTATTATCTGGTGTGTTTATAACAGCACATTCAGTCCACTTATAGTGACATGGAACTGAAAAGACCCATAGAGTACCCCTCATCTACCTTTCTGATATTGATGATTAACCAACCATCCAAGCAGATGATAGTGTGCCTTGTTTGTGAAGGTTCCAGAGAAGTTCTTGGAGTTATACACAAGGCAATGCCACTTACACAAACCAATTGACAGATCTACTGAGAAATAGGATGCAACTGCTTAAAATTTATAGATCAGTGGATCCTATCCAACAACTAATTACTTAACTTAGCAAAATTTTTATGTTATAAAAGTGAACAGATAAATATCGGGAACCATTGGTGCCATAGTTTAAATGACTCATAAATAACAACTTAGAATATCAGATTTATATATATATATAATAACAAGTGTTGGTGAGGAAGTGGAAAAATTGGAACCCTTGTGTAATATTGGTGGGAATGTAAAATGATGTAGCCATTTATGTAAAAGAGTATGGGCGTTCCTCAAAAAATTACAAATAGAATTACCATATGATCCAGCAATTCCACTTTGGGGTATATATCCAAAAGAATTGAAAACAGGATCTCAAAGAGATATTTGTACACCTACATTTATAGCAGCATTATTCACAATATCCCAAAGGTGGAAGCCACCCCAGTGTCCATTAAGGGAAGGACAAATATGATAGATACACACACAATGGAATATTATTCAACCTGAAGAAGAAAAGAACATAGATGACCCTTGAAGACATTATGCTAAAGGAAATAAGCCAGTCACAAGAGCACAAATACTGCATGATTACATACAGAGCATCTAGAGTAGTCAAATTCATTGAGGCAATAAGTAGAATGCTGGTTCCAGGGGCTGGAGAGAGGGAAGAATGGGGAGTTATTGTTTAATGGGTACGGAGTTTCAGTTTTGCAAGATGAAAAGGTTCTAGAGTAGGATGGTGCTGACGGTTACACAACAACGTGAATATACGTAATGCCACTGAACTGTACACCTAAAAGTGGCTCAGATGCTAAATACTATGTTATGTGTATTTTACTACTTAAAAATATATATAATGTAAAAAACTAGGCCAATGTTTCTTAACCTTTTTTTCATTATTGCTCCCCCTACAAGGACTCTTTTTAGATATTTTCCCCCCCGATGGTCCTTCTCCAAAGAAATGTTAATACAAGAGATATGCCATATATCTGTACAATGTGTAAGTCTATGCTGTATACATTAAACAGTAAGATTTTTTTGCCCCGCAAGAATTAGTTTTCACCCTCGTTGAGAATGCATGTATTAGGTTTACTCACATGAGATGAAAATCTGTGAGGGCAAAACACAGTATTTCTGACTGGTATGTGTTAAAAGTACAGGTAGGGATCATAAAATGATAGACTAAAAGAAATCTATATGCAAAAAATATCAAAAACCATTCATCTATTCATCCATTCTTTTATTTAAATATTTTCTGAACACCTATTATGTGTTAGGCCCTTTGCTTAACACTGAGGATATGATAATGAACAAAAATAGACATGTTCCTTACCCTCATAGTACTTATAATTCAGTGGGTGAGACAAATATTAGTCAATAATCACACACAAAAAAATGTAAAACAGCAACCTCAGTAAGTGCCTCAAAAGAGAAATAACTTGGTGCTGTAGGGAGACCAGGGGGAGTTCCCTGTGAAGGTGATGATGAGCTGAGGTTGGAAGATAAGGAGGCTTTAACTAGGCAAATGGGGCGGGACCTGTGGCCCCAGGGAGCAAGGCACCCACAAGAAACCAAAGGAAGAAACAAGTGGCAAGGACACAGCAATCCAGATGGAAAGTGATGCAAAATGAAACTAACCCAAAGTTTCTCAACTTTGTCACTTGACATTTTTGGCTTGGTAATCCTTTGTTAAGGGAGGCTGTCCTGTGCATTGTTGTATATTTAGCAATCCTGGTCTCTGCCCCCTAAATGCCAGTAGCACCTCCCCCCACGTGTGACAACCAAAAATGTCTCCAGACATGGCCTAATGTCCTCTGGGGGACAAAATCACATTTGGCTGAGAAACACTGGAGAGAGATAGGCAAAGTCCAGACCGTATAGGCTCTGTGAAGGAGTTGTGCTTTATTCTGTGATCAATGAGCTACCTTTTAGAGATATCAAAGGGGAGGAGAAAGGACAATGAAAACTGCATTTCTCAAAGATCTTCTGCCAGCAGTGAGTAAAATGGAGGGGAGGAAATGCCAGAGGGGATGTGGATAGAACAATTAGGAGGCTAAACCAAATGAGAAGGTCCTAGACTAGTCCTAGTGAAAAATAATAACAGTTTGGACCAGGGTGGTAGGGGATGGGATTGAGAGAAGTGGATGGATTTGAGAGACAGGAAGTAAAATCAACAACTTGGCCCTAAATTGGACCTGTAGGGTGAGGCAGAAAGAGACATCAGGAATGATTCATGCTAGAGGAAATGGATGCGTGGTGATTCCACTTACTAAAATGGGGAAACTGGACATATCTAGGTTTGTTGGGGAAGATCACACAATTTGACTATGTTAAATTTGAGGGGCCTTTGATGCCCAGGAACAGATGCCAAATAGGTAATTGGATATGTGGGTCTAGAACTCTAGGAGGTCTGGGTTGGAGATATAAATTGGGGAACAAATGGTCTAAAGAAGGTTATCTCAGCGGTGGAAGTGTCTTGTCTCCTAAGGAAGGAATACAGGCGGAAAAGATGAGGTCCTAGGAAAGGGGCTTGAGTGTGGCCATCATTTAATGAGCGAACAGAGAAAAATATACCTCAAGCATCAGAGCAGGAATGGCTAGAAAGTTGGTTACAGCAAGAAGAATGTGGAGTCCTAGAAATCCAGGGAAGAGCGTGGGTCCAGGAGCAGAGAGTACAAAACTGTGTCAGATGCTCCTGAGACATTACGTAAGGTGACTGAAGAAATCTGCTGGATGTGGAGAAAAGTCATGGTCATAGTGAAAGTGGCTGGATGGAAACAGGAGCCAGATGGAAATGGGTGAGGAGTAGAAGGTGAGGGAATGGAGACAGTGAATCTAGATAACATCTTAGGAAGCTGGACAATGAGGAGGAGGAGAGACATAGGTGGAAGTTGGGGAAGGACGCGAGGATGTTTTAAAATGAGAGGGACTCGAACATGTTTCAGTGTCAATTGGGAAATATCTGGTTGAGAGGAGTTAGGTATCCAGGAAGGAGAGGGATGTTTCAGAGATGGGAGGGGGTGGGATCCAAAGTACAAGGAGGGAATGGCCTTAGAGAAGGGGAGTGGAATTGTGCCCCACAGTGTAGGAGGAAATGGAAGGATGGGAATGAATGCGGGGTGTGTGTGTGTGTGTGTGTGTGTGTGTGTGTGTGTTTAAAAAATTTTTAGTGTGTGTGTGTGTGAGTGTGAGTGTGAGTGGAGAAGTGGGTGAGGCTTCTGCTGAGACTGAGGGAGGCTGAGCATGGGGGGCGGACAGTGAATTCGGAGGCTGGAGAAGAGTGGAGAAGTTTGAAGTTATGAGAGTTCTATTAGAATAATGATTCTCAGAAAGCAACAGGTCCTCAGTCTACTAAGACAAATAAAATTATGACTGGAATACTCAAATTACTTATAGTATTAGTTTCTTAGGGCTGCCATAACAATGCACTACAATGTGGGTGGCTCACAACAACTGGGAGAGAAATTTATTCATTCACCATTCTGGAGGCTATAAGTCCAAAATCAAGGTCAGCAGGGCCATGGTCTCTCTGAAGTCTCCATGGGAAGATCCTTCCTTGTCCCTTCTAGCTTCTGGCTGTTGCCATCAATCCGTGGTATTCCTTAGTGCTCCATGGCTTATAGATACATCACTGCAGCCTCTGCCTCTGTCTTCATGTGCCTTCTCCCCTGTGCATCTGTCTCCAAATCTTCCTCCTTTTATAAGAACACCAGTCATTGGATTAGGGTGCATCCTAACCCAATATAATCTCACCTTATCTCGTGTACATCTGCAAGGACTCTTATTTCCAAATGAGGCCACATTCACAGGTTTCAGGTGAACATACACTTTTGGGGAGACACTATTCAACTCAGTATATTACTAAGATATGAGATCATGTTCATGCATTTTAGAAGTATTTAGAAGATTAAAACAAAAATATCTTCAGCAGCTAACATACTCCCCACAATAACTGTTGTGGCGTCTCCACTGTCCCCATGTTACAGATGAGGAAACAGAGGCTAAGAGTAGCTGAATGACTTGCCCGAGGTGAGGTCCTGGCTCTGCCAGGACCTGAACACAGGCATTCTGACTTCAGAGACCACCTTTAACACTCAATTGGCTCTACTGCCTGCTTTTCTCCAGGTAATTCTGAGTTAATCAGAAAAAACTTAATCAGCTAGTTAGCTATCTCAGGATATCTACCCCTGCCAACATTCTTTGCTAATATCTTTTTCTCTACATACAACCCTTTGAACCTTCAGCATGTCTGCAGCTCCATGCTGACAGCACACTGCGTGGGAGCAGAAGCCTGCTTGTTTGGTTCATTTAGGCTGGCAAAATATAGCTCTCCCTTTTCCGGTAACTTCCAAATGTGGCTTTCTTTCCCCGGGTCCACAGTGTCCAATTCATGGAGTTTTTGGAAGTGGAGAACCAGGATGACTACTACAGCACAGGAGCTTGCTATATCTACACCCAGGACCAGCAAGGGGTGCATGTCATGTATGACGAAGCCTTGAGTCATCTGAAGGAACTGGAGACAGAGCTTCTGCTTGTGGCCAGCCATTACACTGAGAAAGAAAAAGGTCGGAAGTCAGATATTTTTAATGGAAAAATTTTTTTTATTTTCCAATTACAGTTGACATTCAATATTATATTAGTCTCAGGTATACAACATAGTGATTAGACATTTATATAACTTACAAAGTGATCATCCTAATAAATCTAGTACCCATTTGACAGTATACATAGTTATTACAGTAGCATTGACTATATTCCTTGTGGTATACTTTACATCCCCATGGCAATTTTGTAACTTCCAATTTGTACTTCTTAATCCCTTCACCTTTTTTCACCTCCTCTCCCCATCCGGAGAAGTCAGATTTTTAAAAATCAACCAGTCAAACAAACAAAAAGCACTAAGGGCTCAATTTAACACCTCCTACCTCAAAATATAAATGCATATCCAACAGTATCTGAAAATTAAATAAACACATACACCTCCCCAACACACATTCACTTTAGAAAAGATACAGTTTTGTTTCCAGCCCAAGTGCCCCTTTTGTTGGAGATTGTGCCTACTCTGTCAGGACTTGGTTATAATTCTCCTGTTGTCTGCTTGTTGCCCAGTGGCATTTCTGCAGCATGCAGTGGGTGCAGGGAGTGTCATGCAGGGCCCTGAGGGAAGCAAAGTAAGCAAGTGAAATTAATGATTTATTTTTTTTAAGTGACCAAAAAAGGTGACTGACCTTGTGAAACTGCAGTTAGGAGCAGAGACATCCCTGGGTTTCTAACAGAAAACCACCGGATACAAGAAGAACCTGGCTAGGAAAATGCCAGATAAGCCCCAGAGGAGAAATCATTACTCAGGGTAATCAAATAACTCATAATCTGTATTCTCTCTTCCTTCTAGCACCACTCACAGTTATCCAATTTTAGAAATAGGTGAGGTAAGAATATTTCTTTTGAAATAATATGCTAGCATTAGCATTACATGTGGAAAGAACTTAGAGCTTCTGGATACATTGCAACACCTAAAGGGAAATTTAGCAAGGGTTTGTGCTATTTTGTAATATATTAGACTGGAATTAAGGATACTTCATGCTCATATTGTTATAAAATGCTGCTCAAGGAATGTTTGACAATTAACTTTTCAGATCCCAGACAGAATTAAATTAATACTGAATTAAAACCTTTGTCCTAGCTTTGCCACAGACCATTTAGGATCTGAATCACGGGATAATGCAATGATGACATCCAACATTCTGGGGCATTTAATTTAAGCTATTAGCTTTTATCTTTACTGGCTATCCTACATACTAATGCATCATTTTTGTTGATAATAATTTATAATATGATGCAACTATTTCCAGCTAAGAATTTAATTTGATTGTAACACTTAGTCATTTTGCCACATGAGCATCTTTCAACTGAGCTAGTAAGTATATAGTCATTCGTTGTGAAATGATTTCCCAACTGCTGCTAGAGAAATTCCTGATCAAAGTCTTTCTCTCGTTCAGTACCAATCATACACTTGATAATTGCTGCATTCAAACTTCAGCACCTGAAAAGCTCTTACTTTTTAATATTTCATTCTGAAATAGACTGTTTAAAAATTTAAAGCAGTGATAATGCTGATAGTGAAAACTAACATTAATATAGTAGGAAAATATTTCAGCTATATAATGATTACATTTATTTATTTAAGTTAGTGATTAACATAATTAAAGCATACCTTAGAAACTTCTGAAAATTTTTGACTTGGTAACATCAATTGAAGTCTCAGGTTAAACTGGATTTGTTTTTAAACCACCAGGGACCTGTTTTTAGAGAAGGAGAAATGTTTATTTTGCCTTTAAATTATAAGCTTGAGGACATTTTAGTAAAGATTTCATGTTAACTGAATTTGATTATATTTTTAAAATTAGTCTTTAAAACTAAATTTAAAAAGTAAAAACAATAGGAAGCTTACAGATGCAACTATTTTTACTTCTATGAGAATGGCCTTGTAATAAATCTGAAAAGCTTAAAAAAAAAAAAAAGTAAATACAAAAACCCCCACTGACTTAGAAATCAACAAGTATGAATTTAGGGCCTAGTCTTTGCTGATGTCTCTTTAACTGATTCTTAGAAATCCCAGTTACTGTTCATTTTTCTCATTCTTGAAATGGAGCTGACAACCTAAGGGTGCATTTCTAATAGGAATAGCTTTGTGGAGAGTCCTGTCTCTGGTCATTCTCATCCACTTCTCTTCCAGGTCACAAAGAAGGCAGCAAGTCAAATACTGGCCAGGACTGGGGATGGGCCCATGCAGGAGTGGATAGATTTGCTGTGCTGTATGACATGTGGTCTTGGGAAGCAGCTCGTCGAGAAAATAAGTGCTAGGTATTTTTGCCTAGAAAACAAAACTTCTGTTAACATCTTTATAAAACCCAGAATTTTTTTTTAACTCAGTGGGTCTTTTAGGGCAGCTTTCAATAAAGTGAATAATTATCTTATTTAAATAATCTCAGCTAGTTGTAAGGATATGAGTAATAAACTTTATTCTCTTTACTGTGGTTCATTGTTACAAAATATAAAATATGAAGGATACTACTTGATCTTATAGGCAAAATTTGTGAAAGGGCTTTTTATAATATGTATGCTTTTATAATATGAGAATGAATGATGACTCTATTCATGTTCATTGTCTTGTCAGGGACAATCCTCACTCTGCTGAATACAGACAAATTGACTGACCTTAGTATGGCCTTTGGAAGTGTATGCCATGTGTGGGTGGGAGAGAGCAGTTGGGCAAGGAGTGCTTGGTGCAACAAGTTACAAGGATAAATTTAAAGCCACAAAACAGCATATAATTTTTATTTTTCATTTTGTTTATGTGATGTAACCCGTTAATTGATTTGCGAATATTGAACCAACTTTGCATACCAGGAATAAATCTCACTTGATCGTGGTGTGGGATCTTTTTAACATATTACTGAATTTGGTTTGCTAATATTTTGTTCAGGGGTTTTAATCTATTATTCATCAGGAATATCGGCTTATATTTTCTTTTTTGGTAATGTCTTTGTCGGGTTTTGGAATCAGGGCAATGGTGGCCTTGGAGAATAAGCTTGGGGCCTTCCCTCCTCTTGAAAATTTTGTAATAGTTTGAGAAGATTAGGTGTTGATTCATCTTTGAATGTTTAGTAAAATTCACCTGTGAAGCCATCTGGTCCAGGACTTTTGTCTGTTGAGGCTTGTTAATTATTGATTCAATTTTGTTAGTAGTAATTGGTCAATTCAGATTATCTGTTTCTTCTCGATTCAACTTTGGAAGATTGTATGCTTCTAGGAATTTATCTATTTCTTCCAGATTGTCCAATTTGTTGGTGTATAATTGCTCATAGTGTTTTCTTAATTTTTTCTTGTATTTCTGTGGTGTCTGTTGTCACTTCTTCTCTTTCATTTCTCAGTTTATTTATTTGGGTCCTCTCTCTTTTTTTCTTGATGAATCTGGTAAAAGGTTTATCAATTCTGTTTTTCTTTTCAAAGAACCAGCTCTTGATTTCACTGATTTTTTTGTATTTTTTTTTTACCTCTATTTCATTTATTTCCACTCTGATCTTTATTATTTCCTTCCTTCCACTCACTTTGGGCTTTGTTTGCTGTTTTTCTCCAGTTCCCTTATGTGCACAGTTAGATTGTTTATTGAGATTATTCTTGTTTCTTGAGGTAGGCCTGCATTGCTATGAATTTTCCTCTTAGGACTGCTTTCGCTGTGTCCCATAGATTTTGGGTCATTGTGTTTTCATTTTCATTTGTCTCAAGGTACCTTTTGATTTCTTCCTTGATCTCATTGCTGACCCACTTGCTATTTAGTAGCATGTTATTTAGCCTCCATGTGTTTGTGTGTTTTTCAGTTTTGTTCTTGTAATTAATTTCTAGTTTCATAATTATTGTGATTAGAGAAGACACTTGATATGATTTCAATCTTCGTAAATTTATTGAGACTTGTTTTGTAGCCTAATGTGGTCTGTCTTGGGAAAGAATATATATTCTGCTGCTTTGGGGTGAAATGCTCTAAAAATATAAATTAAACCCATCTGGTCTAGTGTGTCATTTAAGGCCATTGTTTCCTTGTTGAGTTTCTGTCTGAAAGATCTGTCCATTGGTGTTGATGGGATGCTTAAGTCCCTTATAATGATTGTGTTACTGTTGATCTCTCCCTTTATGTTGGTCAATATTTGTTTTATATATTTAGGAGCTCCTATGCCGGGTCCATAGATCTTTACTAGGGTTATGTCCTCTTGTTGGATTGATCCTTTTATCGTTATGTAATGTCCTTCATGTTCTCTTATTATAGTCTTTATTTTAAAGTCTATTTTGTCTGATATAAGTATTGCTACTCCAGTTTTTTGTTTGTTTGTTTATTTCCATTTGCATGAAATATCTTTTTCCATCCCTTTGTTTTCAGCCTATGTGTGTCTTTCAATCTGAAGTGTGTGGATAGCATATATATGGGTCTTATTTTCTTATCCACTCAGCTACCCTATGTCTTTTGATTGGAGCACTTAATCCACTTACTTCGAAGGTGATTATTGATAGGCACATAGTTATTGCCATTTTATTATTTGTATTTTTGACCTTTGTTTGTTTATTTTCTCCTTTCTTCTGCTTAAAAAAGTCCTTTTAACATTTCTTGTAATACCAGCTTGATGGTAATGAATTCCTTTAGCTTTGTCTTGTTTAGAAAGCTCTTTATCTCTCCTTCAATTTTAAATGATCACCTTGCTAGGTACAGCAGTCTTGGTTGTAGGACCTTGCTTTTCATCATTTTGAATATTTTCTGCCACTCCCTTTTGGCCTGCAAAGTTTCTGTTGAGAAATCAGCTGGCAGTCTTATGGAAGCTTCCTTATAAGTGACTAGTTGTCTTTCTCTTGCTGCTTTTAGGATTCTCTTTGTCTTTAACCTTTGCAATTTTAATTATAATGTGTCTTGGTGTAGGCCTTTTTGGGTTCATCTTGTTTGGGACTTTCTGCACTTCCTGGACTTGTATGTCTATTTCCTTCACCAGATTAGGGAGTTTTTCAGTCATTATTTTTTTCAAATATGTTCTCGATAACTTACTCCTTCTCTTCTCTTTCTGGTACTCCTATGATGTAAATGTTGTTATGCTTGATTTTGTCCCAAGGGTCCCTTAAACTATCTTCATTTTATTTACTATTTATTTATTTATTTATTTATTTATTTTTGTTGTTCTGATTAGGTGTTTTCTACTACTTTGTCTTCTAAATCACTGATTCTGTCCTCTGCTCCATCTAATCTGCTGTTGATTCATCCTGGTGTATTCTTCATTTTAGTTATTGTATTCTTTATTTCTGACTGGTTCTTCCTTATGGTTTCTATGTCCTTTTTAATGCTTGCTATCTCTTTGTTTCAGTTCTCACTAAGTTCCTTAAGCATTCTTATAACCAGTGTTTTAAACTCTGTCTCTGGTATGTTGGTTGCCTACATGTCATTTAGTTCTTTTTCTAGAGTTTTCTCCTGTTTTTTTTTTTTTTGTTTTGTTTTGGGACATGTTTCTTTGTTTCCTCATTCTGTCTGCCTCTCTGTATTTGCCTCTGTGTATTAGGTAGATCTCCTATGTCTCTCAGTCTTTGCCAAATGGCCTTATGTAGTAGGTGTCCTGTGTGGTCTAGTGGTATGGTCTCCTGGGTCACCTGTGCATGTATTCCAGAAGTGTCCCTTGTATATGTTATGTGTGCCCTCCTGTTGTAGTTGAGCCTTGATTGCTTTTGGCACATCAATGGGTGGGATAGACTCTCAGGCTGACTGGCCTATGAGGATTGGCTATGCCTACAACATATGAGCTGCTAGACTGGTCCAGGGCTACCTGGTAGGAGCTATAAAGCTATATGCGGTTGGTTGCTGCCTTTGCTGGCCCTCAAGGCATGTGGGGGTGGACTCGCTTTGAACCAAGGTTGGTTGCCACCCGTATTGAGCCTGGGGAAGTTGAGCAAAAGTCCCAGGGAACCTCTAGGCCTGTTGCCATCTGCCAGCTGTCTGTAAGGCTCAGCTGCTAAAAGACCCTCCTTAAGTGTGTGGGCAGGGCTTGTTGACACTGTGCTGATTATGCCTCCAGCGATGCTCCCAGAGTTGATTGGGGTAGGTTTCCAGTGAGTCTCTGGGGTAGAGCTGGTGGTTTTCACAAAGTTAATGAAGACTCAGTTTTTGCACCAGTGCTGAGCCTATGGTCACTCTGAACAATGCCCAGAGAACACCATGGCCAGCTGCCACTCACCTCGTGCCTGCAGATTCCCAAGAGCCACCCAAGAAGGGCTGCAGCGCCAGATGGGCCTGGCCACCTACCACTGAAAGTTTCCCAGACTGTCATGCGACATCTGCTGCTGAATAAGCCTCCTGCAGTTTACAGGGCAGGGCTGGTTGCCCAGGAGCTGAGAGTGCCCCCAGCAATGCTGTACTAGCTGGGCAGGGAAGGGTCCCAGGGAGTCACCAGTGTGGGGCACATGCAGAGTTCACCGGGCCAATGAGGTCTCAGATTTTGGGAAGGGCTCAACACAGGGAAAATGGTGTCCACCTGTAGGCAGGTTCCACACAGGGACAATGGTGGCTGTCCCTCTATCCCTCACCTTGAACCACGCAACTCATTCTTTCCCAATATGTCTATGGCACCTCTTGAGTTGCTGCCCCTCTGCTCTGGAGCCCAGGATTCATGAAAGAGAGTGTGTGTGGACCCTTTAAGAGGACATCTGGGTTTCAAGCTGCCTTCTGTCTCGCCGCGAGGGATGGAGTCCTCTCTGATTTTTTACAGCCAGATGTTGTGAGGACTCCTTTTCCTGGCTCAGGACCCCTGGACTGGGAAGCTCAGTGCGGGGCTGGGACCCCTTCTTTTCTTGTGGACTTCTGCCACTGAGCTGTCCCTCCTGATGCTCAACCGCTACCTGTGGGTTTGGGGTCAGCTGGTTTTGCATCTCCTCCCCTCCTACCTGTCTCAATGTGGCCTCTTCTTTGTATCCTTAATTATATGGATTCTGTTCAGCTGGTCTTTTGATGAGTCTCGAGGTTGATTGTTCTATAATTTACTTATGGGAGGTGGCAGGCGAGGCATTTACTGATTCTGCTATCTTTACTCTTCTCCTCATAGTTTTGTTTTTAATATCATAGCTGTTTGCATGTCAGTGTGGAGAATGGATTGGAATAGAAAGCTCCTGGGGAACAGAAGAGCAGTTGTTACAACAGGGACTTGAAGAGTTAGGAGGGGACCTATACTAAGGATGTAATAGTGAGACTAGGAAGGCGGGGCAGACTTGACGGCACTTTGTAGAAGTGGGAATGCAGGATTTGAAGACAGGATGTTGGAGTGAGAGAATAAGGGTGGAAT